GCACAGCCGGCAGAACTAGCCATCCAGTCAGAGAGAGAGAGAGAGAGAGAGAAAAGAAATAAAGGTACAATGGTTTTGATGGCACGTCTATTTTCTTATTCAGTGTGCTTGAGATTGATTTTTGCTGCCACAGTGGATTTCAGAGACACGGGTGATGATTCTAAAAGGACGGGGCAGAGACATTTTGGGGTTGAGTGACTCATAACAGCAAAAGCCAGCCCTGCACTGAAAGGGCAAGCGATTGCACAGGTTAGACTTTTTCATGAAAACAAGTAATACTTTGTTCATTCGCTAGTGTAAAAGAAAATCTTTCCTCAAAAGTGGCTGGGTGATGAAACTTTTTAAAAATGTGGTGTGTGTGTGTGTGTGTGTGTGTGTGTGTGTGTGTGTGTGTGTATATATATATAAAAAAAAAAGTACGCGTGTGTGTGTGGGGGTGGGTGCGTGTGTGTGTGTGTGTGTGTGTGTGTGTGTGTGTGTGTGTGTGTGTGTGTGTGTGTGTGTGTGTAATTTTTTTAAGTCTGTCATTGACATATTTAATTAACATAAAGCAAAATATATGAGCACACTTACTGGAAAATTGGATGGAAAAGCCCTGTTTGCTGATAAAGTAGTCAGCATCAAACTGAAGTGTCAGTATGTTGAAGGTTGAATGGATATCTTCAGGTAAGGCTGGACCGGACCATTCTTTCAAAAGGATGCCTCCATCCGATGGCCCAGACGGCCCATCCCAAACTCTCAGGATGTCATGGCCGATCTCAGTGTCAAAGACGATGAAATGGAGGCTGAGGAGGAAATAGTAATTTAAAAAAAACATCTCAATGTTTTAGTTCATCTCAGTCTTTTTGTGTCATTTTACAGCAATGATTCCAAATGAAAGGACCCATTTGAGTTTGGAATGTTAACAGAGGAAGAGACTGAGTCGAAGAAGTTCCGTATTGTTTTGAATATTAACAGTGGTTAACTTATTCTTACAACTGAATCATTCATAAGGGTAACTCACTGCATGTTAGTTACCTGATAGTCTTGCCAGTATCTGCCTCTATAGTCCAGGTACAGTGGAGATTGTTGTCATACGGGGCAGGGTATCCTGGTGACAAAATTCGTCCAGACACCGCTCCCGTGATGTGACCGCCACACTCCGCTGCAAGGACAAGACGCTGACATTGTCACGCACTGTTTTTATTACCCATTGTATGATTTACAGCTCATCCGCTCTTTTGTTTCTGGTGGTTTAATAGAAGAAAATATATCATATAACCATCAGGAAAGAAGCCACAAATTGTTGTATTAGGTTGGGCTGTAAACAAACAGAGGAGCTCTGCCTACTTACGACTTTCTTAGCCGTGAATCTCATGCTGATCCATCAAGAATATGTTTGACATTTGGTGAACAAACATTACCTCTTTCACAATTCATGACAATAAGCCTATAAATATCGTACTTTCCGGGCAATAAGGCGCACCTAAAATAATTTCATTTTTTTCAAAAGCCGACAGTGCGCATGGTAATCCGATGTACCTTATATATGGATCAATATTCTGATATCTTGGACGTAGTACTTAAAATGTTCTATCAAGCTCTTTGTGAAAGCTGCAGCGGTTGTGAAAGCGCTATATCAATAAAGCTGTCTTGTATTGTATTGACTTTAGCCTAGCACCATCTAGTGGATGCATAACACAACCCTAGCCACTAGTGTATCTTCTATTTACAGTATGCACCTTATAAAGCAGTGCACGCTATATATGAAAACGGTTTGAAAATAGTCCATTCATTGAAGGTGCGCCTTATAATCCGAAATGCCTTATAGTGCAGAAAATACGGTAATCATTCTTTTAACACTAATTATCATTATTATCTTCACCTAATTAATAGAATCAAGAAGCTGCTGAGCTCGATAAGATGCATGTTCTCTATTTGTCTCCAAATTACCAAGCGGTAAGAAGGTTGAAATAAATAGTATGGACATGCTTGATTCCTAAAGTCATCCTTGAATTTCCAAAGCTTCTCTTTTACGCTTTCAATGTTGGTGAATGGCTTGTCGGAGTGCGTTTTTCTTATAAGGGTTTCCCAAGAGTGCTTAGAGTCCAAGAATAAATTAACGCTCAATACACAAGAGATAAGTGGAATTGTGTGTGTGCGTGCGTGTGTGCGTGCGTGTGTGTGTGTGTGTTCATTGCACTGAGTTGTCCGAGGTTATAGCAAGAAAAGGACAGAATGTTATTAAAGGAGCCATTGCAGCAGATCTTCTGTGATTAGAAAAGAGCTTGCTGAAGAAAGAAAAAAAAACTAATTTCTCTAAGTTTTAAGTTTAAGGAGGGTTTTCTTTTTTACCTTTGGAGAACCATGATGCTTTCCGTAAAGCAACCTAATGCTTTGACATGGCTGCCTCCCAACACGGAAACATTGGCGGGTGAGAGTAACATGCCCCCCACACATCCAGTTGAGTTTCCCAAAATGACAATGGTGACAACAACTTGTCTTTGACTCAGTTTGCGAAAGATGAATCTCAGCAAAACCACCTCATCTACATGGCAGTAAAACCAAACATTTTATTGCGCCAGACAGACAGGGAATGAGCCAACCATAAAGGCAAAGTGATAAATGGCCCAAAAGAGTAACAAAGGAGGCAGATGCAAAGGTATTTAGCCCAGGGGCCTGCCAGCAAGTATTCTCCTGGCTTCTGGCTTACCTGAAATAAGACGGCAACAAAGCAACTGCAAATTAATGCTGGACTGTGAAGAAACACGGGGACAATGCTACAAACACACATGTATTAGGCCCACAAGTGTGTGCGTAAACATACATTCTTCTATTCTTTGTAGTTGCCATTAGCAACCAAATCAGGGCACGTCCTGCCCCTGAGAGCTCAGGTGTGGAAGCTGGTTAGAGAGAGACAATGTTTGGTTCAGCATTTGGGGAATTCCAAATTAAAATGTGCCAGGAGCCCACACAGTCCCCACAATGTAGGACTGCTTACAGGCTTTCGTTTGTTGAATATGCAAAGCCGCAAATTAAAGTCAAGCAAAACTGAATATTTTACAAGCCGAATTTATGAACTTAGACTCGGAGGGAATACCATTTTTCTCGATGGGCTTCCAGATACCAACCAAATTATGTGTGACCTGGGGGGTGAAGTGACCTGCTCAGAAATTATATTTCCAGCAGACAAAAAAAAAATGTTCTCTGGCTGTGAATTCTTCTCGACTACAAATGGCACAAGCAGTACTGAAGATTTACATTTTTGCACGTTTTTATCAGAAGAATAATTCCAGGATCAATGAAGTGTCTCTGGCACTGTACCGTACTAAATGAATATCTTGGACAATGTAAAATCGTAATTAGAGGAGATCTGTGCCAGCACTTTCAGATCCACAAGTTAAGATTACCCGACTGGTAATGTGTTGATGGTGCCCTTGGAGCACGGTGTGCAGGAGATATGTGGAACATAGATTTTTTTTGCAGTGTGAAGGGATAAAGAAAAGCATTGTGTGTCTTGGCTTCGTCAAAGCTAGTGGGCACACTGGTGTCCGAGTCGGTTACTTCCGCGCTGCGTTCCAAAGCTTGCTTCGCTTCAGGCCTAGACATCTGGCCAGAAATGATGGACAAAATGTGTGAAGTGTGTCCCTGCTTCCCTCCAACAACTGGGACTGAGCAAGCCATGGTTGATGAAGTGAAAGCTCCAAGCGTTGCATGCCAAGCACTCTTGAGGTGAAGGCAGCGTCTAAGAGCTTCGGCATCACGAGCAGGGCATCACTTTAGTAGTCGGGGGTGGTCTGTATCATAGCTACAGCATGTAGGAATGAGTTATATCGGATATTGAATAAATAAATAAATACATACATAAGGCAGTCCTCCACATGAGCATGATAGTGAGCATGTGCGGTCAAAGGGCTTTATCAGGAGAACAATATCAGACGAGCAAACACGGGTCAGTGGCTGATTTTTAGTCTTGGCCGCACAGGGCAGAGTTTCACATAAAAGCAGAGGGCCTGCGGCCACTTGATAGCAGGGCAAATACAAATTCACAGTGACAGTCCTTGGATGCTTTGGTACCCTTTGGTACCGAAGTCCCTTTTGGCTCGTGGTTGCCTTGGGCATGAAACCTGCTGAAGGTTAACATTTTGCTTTCCAGGTTCGACACCACAGCTACTTCCAATCTACTTGCTATTGTTTTGAGTTACAGTGGTACCTCTACTTACGAACGTCTCTTCATACGAAATTTTCACGTTACGAACAGGAAGATATTGCCTCTTGTTACGAAAGAAATTTCAAGATATGAAAGGTAAAAATACAGTATGGCCTGCTACTCGCAGCTCTGAGTTTCCTGAACACAACATATTTATAGCTGCTATGCCATTGGCTATGACTTCACATCTTCCTGGCATCCCATTGGCCAAGCGGGACCTCTACCGTATGTGTCCATGTGCATCGATAGATAGATATGTGTCTATGCAGTGTCCTGGTCATTCACCCCTAGGGCCATGAGGTGTTCCGATAGCTTTACGTAAATGCAAATCACCCAGGAAAAGTGTTCACCAGTCGGACGATCGCTCACTATGCTGATGTTTGCCTTGGACATTTTCAAAGGATTGTTAAAGCCGACAAAAGCAAACATCCTTGGATCAGTTCTCCAACCTCTGTAGTATGGGTCCTTTGATCAGCTAGCCATAAGTGTCTACTCCTTTGGTGTATCACAGACCGCGTTCATGTTTAGCAAGTATTTTGTCAGACCGTCGACAGCACCTCTTCATGCATTCGGCAAATGTAGCATTTGCGGGGAGCCAGCCTAGTCAAGCCGGCTGCTGCGAAAGTTGTTTTGAGGCAAAGATAAAGTGCGCCACAAGGGTGCAAATTAATGTATACTGTATATGGATAGCAATGCCTTAACCTAGCGTTTATTTTGAAGTTGGCCTTTGGAAGCATTCGCTGTGGCAGCTAACCTGACTGAGAATAAAGACTGGCCTGACCTATTTTTAGTGCGCAAAAATGCAATGAAAGGCTTGAACTGGAGTGCAGTATTCAATTTCCAGTGCTCGTGCGCACCGGTAGACCATTTATGTGCACCCCTGCCTATAAATCAAGTCTACATTACCCATTATCAGGGATGATGCCCAGCAGGAAAGCTCTTTTGTGTTTCATCAAAGCTGAAAAAGGTTTTTACTGACAAGCAAAATTTTCGCTCAAGTGCACACGTTTTCGGCAAAAGGTGCAGGGCGTTCTAATATACTGATGTATTTAAAGGCATACGAACCGATACAGGATGGAAGTGGTTTGTCCCAAACACGTCTGTCCCCACTTAGACACGTCAGTGTACTACTTCCATGGAGACTGTAGCCAGGGTTGCAAGAGTAAAGGACAAATGTGTTAGCATAATGTCCATCGTCTTGGATCTTGTAGCCGTAACTGGGGACGCCAGGTTCTTCACACCGCACCAGGTCAAAACCTAGAAGAGAACAATGTTACGGAAATGGGTAAAACGGTCGTTTTTCAGCAAAACCTAAAAACTGTACTTTTAGAGAAATTGGAAATAGGAGTATGGTTTTCCTGAACACAACATATTTATAGCTGCTATGCCATTGGCTATGACTTCACATCTTCCTGGCATCCCATTGGCCAAGCGGGACCTCTACCGTATGTGTCCATGTGCATCGATAGATAGATATGTGTCTATGCAGTGTCCTGGTCATTCACCCCTAGGGCCATGAGGTGTTCCGATAGCTTTACGTAAATGCAAATCACCCAGGAAAAGTGTTCACCAGTCGGACGATCGCTCACTATGCTGATGTTTGCCTTGGACATTTTCAAAGGATTGTTAAAGCCGACAAAAGCAAACATCCTTGGATCAGTTCTCCAACCTCTGTAGTATGGGTCCTTTGATCAGCTAGCCATAAGTGTCTACTCCTTTGGTGTATCACAGACCGCGTTCATGTTTAGCAAGTATTTTGTCAGACCGTCGACAGCACCTCTTCATGCATTCGGCAAATGTAGCATTTGCGGGGAGCCAGCCTAGTTAAGCCGGCTGCTGCGAAAGTTGTTTTGAGGCAAAGATAAAGTGTGCCACAAGGGTGCAAATTAATGTATACTGTATATGGATAGCAATGCCTTAACCTAGCGTTTATTTTGAAGTTGGCCTTTGGAAGCATTCGCTGTGGCAGCTAACCTGACTGAGAATAAAGACATTTACTAAAGTTACAATTTGTCCAGTTCAGATATCACTCCAAGGACTCCATTGCAACTGGTCATACTTTTTTGGGGCGAAGGATACACCACTTTTTGCCATTCCAGAAATGTTTTTTTCTCACAGTCACATTGACTTAAAAAGCAACTGCTCTGGCCCTCTTGAAATATAGTCTTCAAAGCAATTGAAGACATAGCTGTGTTTGAAAAATGTCCTTTTTTTTTTTTTTTTTTTTTTTACCTAACTCGCTATTGCTATTGCTGCACTTTGGGCTCAACCCTCAGCAGAAATTGCTTGGAAATCTAAGAGAGAGCCTCTTTTCACCTGTCAGAAGTGTAAGAAATTGGTATTTTGCTGACTGTGAAAGACTATTCTCAAGAGATTTGTAGTACATGACCCTATTCTTTCTTTTTTATGCTGTAACAGTCAAAGGAATTACTTGACCAAGTGAGCTTACCCAGTAACTAATCTTCTACTTCCCTATGGTTGTTAAAGGAAGAATGATACTCTCTTAAAACAGTTTTAAACGAACAATTGTTTCTTTTTTTTGGACGAATGTTATATTTCAAAGCTACATCTGAATACGGTAACGGGAAAATGTATGTGAACCTCTTCAGGAGGTGCATTTTCTTCTGTTTAAACCAGTTTGTTGTTGATCAACTTGTGTCTGTTGTGTCGTTGTCTAGTTGCATGACTGAACATTCTGTTGAGCATTTGGCAGACAGATGCTCTTTAGTTCTCCTGCAAAATACCTTGATAAATTGGATCGATATTTTTCCATTGCTGATGGTGATGAATTCAGCTCCTGAGGCAACACTGCAGTCCCAAACAATGATGCCCCCTCAACCCTGATATGAGACTTCACAATTGGGCTGGAGCTTTCATGGTGCCGTGCTTTTTTTTTCCCCCCTTACACAGCTTTTGTTTTCCATCCCCATACCACAACTTTGGTTCGTCTGTCCTCATTATACTTTATCAGTAGTGCTGTGGAACATCCAAGCATTTTTTTTTTTTTGGAAAGGTCAAATCTGTAACAATGCTATTTTGAGACAAGAGTGGCTTTCACCAAGGTAGTCCCATAATGCCTTTCATTCGTTTAATATTTTACTTATTGTGTATTTGTCGACAGAGATGTTGGAATGTGCCAGAGAAGTCTGTGTCAGAAAAGTCAAGTCTTTGGACGACAGTAGGATTTTTCTTCACGTCATTAAGCATCCTGCACTGTGCTTTTGCAGTCATTTTTTACCCACAGCCACTCCATGGGAGAGTAGCCATAGCATTAAACTTTCTCCATTTATAGACAATCTCTCTCACCATGGACTGATGAACGTCAAGGCTTTTAGAGATACTTTCTATGTTCATGCACATTATTAATTCTTAATTTTAGGTATTCTGAGAGCTCTTTTGTGTGAGGCATAGTCCACACCAGGCACTGTTTATTGAAAAGATAAAACTCAAATCTGCTTTTTTTTTATGGGGCACATGTTTTATGACCAACTTAGGCAGTAATCGAATCGAGGCAATTCCAAAAGGGCTCGCATACTTTTCTTGCAACTGTGTGTGTGTGTGTGTGTGTGTGTGTGTGTGTGTGTGTGTATACATCAAAATGACTTAACTCACTTGTATACGTGAGGTGAAAGCCCTGAGTTGTTCCAGAGGCGTTGCTATTGAACTCCAGCCACAAGTGATTGGAGGTACTATTGATAATACGGCCCATCATAGCACCCCGGGTGAAGTTCCCAAGGAGACGAGATGAGCTGTTTTCGCCATCATACACCTGTCAATCATAACACATGATTATGAGTGTGGCAAAGTGATGAACATGAGATATCAACAGTAATTTAAAACTGATTACATTCAAGTACAGAGGCAAACAATTTCGTAGTTGACAATGTGATTATGTCAAGAAGTTATTTTACATGCATACCAAATAAGTGCCGTTTTTGGAATGATTTGAGAGTGTTGCTATTTGACTGCTACTTGAAGAGAAGTTTTCCCTGACTTCAGCATCAATCCTGTATATGCCAATTCGACATTGTGGGACATACTGAGAGATTGGTGACAACACATCTGCAGGTACAGGGGTATGTCTATAATTCTGACTACCTAAAACTATCCTGGAAAAATTGCATCTCCAGCATCTTCAAAAACGGGAAACAACTAATAAGACTGAAAATACATGGCGCTCATTCCAACCACTCAATTACTGTATGTGCTGGGGACAAACAAGACCAAAGAGTCAACACTGGATTAAATATGTTAAAAACATGACATCTTCTCCTCCCTACCGAAATGTGCTTGTTGTCAAATTTGCAGAAAATGAAATTAACACAAACTAAGTGGACATGTATACACATCTCTTTTGTGTTTCTCTTCCGGCACAGCCACTCTCAAAGTACCTTCTCATTTAAACTTGCACTCACATTGTAATGAATTTAATGACTTCATCTTTTGTGCTCTCTCTCTCTCTCTCTCTCTCTCTCTCTCTCTCTCTCTCTCTCTCTCTCTCTCTCTCTCTCTCTCTCTATATATATATATATATATATATATATATTCTGTATATATGTGTGGGTGTGTTTGTCTGCTTCCTTGAGTGTTTTGAAAGGCGCTTATAAATGTAATGTATTATTATTATTATTATTATTATTCGTTCATTTGCATCAATTAATGGAGAGTGTTTGCTGTCGGAAGAGAAATCCAGTTTGTTATTTAAAACGGTGCCTTGGCTTCTGTGCTCATTTATTAGCCTTTACCAAAATTAGTCATGAGTAGTTTTTTACTGGGTCACAGTTTTTAAGTAAAACACTGCCAGAGGAAATTGCTTTTGATTCATGAGCATTGTACAACACAAAACCCGACGTGTTAATCATCAGTTATTGAAATGGAGATTTTGATGATATGGCAATAGATTCTACACCCAGTGTATTTGGGTTTATCGTAGGAAATTATAGGCTCTTGAATGTAAAATGTTTCAAAACACTAACGTTTTTAATATTAAATGAACCTGTATATTTAATTTGTGAATAATAGAGTAAGTGAATTATGCTAAGGTTAGCATAAGGAAATATAAGATGCATGTTATTCTTCATCCATAGGGTTTAATCTGATGTGGGTCCACCCTTTGCAGGAACAATGGGCTGGTAGGTACACCAAACAATTTTGGACACGTCTAAGCTCCCATCTTTGTGGGAACTGTTTTGGGGAAAAGTCCCTTCCTATTTTGCATGACTGCACCAGTGCACAGAGCAAGATCCATAAAGTCATGGATGCGAGAGTATCGTGTGGATGAAGTTGACAGGCTTAGCGTCCACGGAGCCCTGACCTTAGCCTGATAGAACACCTTCGGGATGAATTAAAGTGGAGACTGAGACCCAGGTAACCTTGTCTCCTTCTTGTCCAACATCAGTGTGTGACCTCAAACATGCGGTTCTGGAAGAATGGTCAAAAATTCCCATAAACATACTAAGGGTGGATCGACTTCCTATTACACCCACGGAATAAGAATGGGATGTGAAGGAAGTTCATATGTGAGTCAAGGCACGTGAGCAGATGTTTCTTTTGGAAATGTAGACTACATGGGCTACATGTGCCAACAGCACAGCCGCAAATGCATTAAGATAGCAACACACCACATATATTTATAAATATTTCTTACCTTCTATTATTAATGCCACGATTGTGCAGTACCTCATGTTAAAATCTGTTTTTCGTTTATCTACAAATATGATGATTTGCGTCTATTTTAAACCGCAACTTTACATGAGCAGACTTGACCTTGCAATGACTAATCGTGGGTTACAGGAGCCTATCCGAGCTACCTGAAGCGGTACCCAGGACTGGGCGCCAGTAGCTGAGGAATAAAATAGACACTTTAAAGTAACGGTTGCATGAATTCATCAGGGTGATGCAGTGATGCATTTGGTTATTGCTTCACTTTGGTTAACTGAAGACTCTAAGTTGCCCATAGGTGTGAATGTATGATTGCGGATTGCTGATCAGTGTGGGTGCTCCCATGCAAAACGCTTTGGCACACTTGTGAAACTGAAAATTAAATTGGTGGAAAATCAATGGATGGAAAAATTCCGGTAGGTAACACTACCTCATCACTATTTTGTATTTATTTTTGAATACACTGTACCTGTAGCAAGAGTCGCCAATGATGTCGTGGTACATTCGCCTGACTTGTGTGCGGGCAGCGTCGGATCGGTTCCCACTCAGTGACGGTGTGAATGTGGGTGCGAATGGTTGTTTGTATCTACATGTGCCCTGCAACTGACTGGCCACCAGTACAGGGTGTCGTCCGTCTTTTGCCCCTAAATCAGCTGAAATAGGCTCCAGCACCCTTGCACGACCTGTTCAGGGTAAGTGGATGGATGTACCTGTAGCTGTAGCTGTTTTGTTAGCCATATCTGAACTTTAAATGATTTGCATCACACTGACAAAATCTAAACATTACCTGCTTTGCCTTAAGACAGTGTTATGTTGTGAGATGAGGTGAAAGATCATTTTATTTTATAATGTGTCTGGAAACATAAAATATTTGATACAATGAAGAGAAAGGAATCAACCTCTAGCAACACGCTCAAACGTTTTTACTTGTTCCACACTTGCAACACCATCCCATCTCCTGTCACCAGCTCCTAATTTTCCTTCTCGCTCTCATGCTCTGTGCTCGTGTGAAACTCAATACGGTTAATGAAAAGCCCCGCAGCTCATAAATCATCATGTCACAATCTGCCAGCCTGGTCCATCTGTCGGATGGACCCTTTTGTCAGACCAAAATCCCGGCACTTGGTTTTCTGTCTTAATCTTCCCTTTTGACCTCGGGGTTGGGGTATTGAAACAAATTTTGTCAAACACTTCATTATGTCTGAACAGTACTGGGGCAAAAAGTTCTCATACTTCGAACTAAATATTTGGCCTGAAGCTTGATAAAACAATCACAGAAATTATCTTTTGCTTGAATTATTCACCTCAAGCGTGCGCTTCTTTCGGATGTCTTAACACACGACAATATTTCTGAAACCAAGCAACCTTGTAGCAGAAACGTTTTTCTTACCCACTTTTTTTCTTTGAGTCATTGTCCGAAGTTCCTGGCCAAAGTTGAGGTAAAAATGGAATCATAAATCCTGAGCTTTGCCTTTGGGCAGAAGTTTGGACACTCCTAAAATCAACCTGTCTAATCTCATTTGAGTACAAGAGCTGAAGAATTTCGCTCACTTAAAAACTGACATATCACTTGCATGATGAATTATCATCAATATTCCTTTTAAATGAACCTCCCTGAAACAGGTTTTCTACTTTTGTCATTCCTATCCCACTGGGAATATGACTAATTTATTTTACAGTCACGTTAAGCCTCTTAAAAAGTCAGGCAGAACCCCGCAAATACAATCTAACCAGAGACGGGCTCAGTCTACACTTGGGGCTTAATAGTGATAATACAGTTTAACCACATACTGCCTTAACCATGGCCTCAGGCCTAATACTGCTAAGAGAGTGTTGTGACTGTTCAAATAACTCATCTGGCTGCTGCTGATGATGATGATAGAAGACGTGAATAATGCACACCTTGAGATGAATTGATATTTTCTGAGAAGAAGAAATGGTGGTGCGATTATGGTAGGAATTCTCGTAGGCTGGAATTAAAAGTACTGATTAGTTTCACTTAGTGCTGCCCTTTAGCTAAATGGCGGTTGGCATTTCCTGATTGACCAGATTTTCTAGAAATATAAATGGCAAAATGAGTAGCTCCATGTTGCAATGGTTGTATTCCAGCTGGGACACGAGGATAAAGGGATGCTGAGCTAACCCTCTAGCTCGACGCTAACCGAAGGTAATCGTGCTGAGGGTCAGTCCTCTTTTGTTCCGTTGTTTCCACTGCGTTCATTCAGCTTTTGTGGCTATTGGAACAGGAGCACAATCAAAAACATGGCTAATACACCCCTGCAGGGGTGTTTGTGCTTTTTGTACAAACATGTGAACATGGCGAACAAGAGGGAGAACCTTGCGGATTACGCCTAGCAATGAATTGGCAAAACAAATATTGCAGTGGATTATTCTACTCCGTCATAGTTTACATTTTCAAATGTAAACATTTTGACATTATTGATGCTTTATGATGAAATTTTTAACATGTTAATCGGTGCTTGTGAGTTACTTAGTTCATGTACAATACTACAAACTGGAGACACTATTGTGATCACCTGCACAATTGAACATCATCCAATACAAGAACTGTGACAAAACCTTTTCAAAGATAATAGTATGCTTTGATTGATCCTTTCTGAAAAAGTTTAAGATTCTCATTTTTGTGGTTGTAGTTTGCAGTTAAGGATGCAAAAAAAGTGACATGCTTAAAAAAACAAACAAACAAAAAATTACACTATTTTATAAGATATTGAGATATTTTCAATAGAAAAGTCATAATGTCACAAAGGAGCCTGTATTTTGGATAAATAGAGGAATTCAAAGTTGTAATTTATGGAGTATATTTAGTATTACACACGGTGTTGTCAAAAATAGCTTCGAGATTAGGTCTTGTCTGTAACTGTCAGAGGCAAAATGTAGTGTAATGTACCAGGTGGTACTTCTACACTGAATTCAACAGTATGCCTTATTTTTACAAAAAAATGGGTGTTGTAGATATCTATCTACATTTCATTTGAATTTGTCATTGCTGATACAGGACCAACATTACATAACATCAAATATGTACTTTCATTATGTTTTGAAGTGTTTGTCAGAATCTAGATTCAAAGTAATTTATTTTAGCGTGTAAGTGCGTGTGTGTGTGTGTGTGTGTGTGTGTGTGTGTGTGTGTGTGTGTGTGTGTGTGTGTGTGTGCGTGTGTGTGTGTGTGTGTGTGTGTGTGTGTGTGCGTATTTGCACAAATACCCTGAGATGGTCTCCATCTTGCAGAGAGAAGCTCTCAGCTTTCAGCCTGATTCCTTTTCCCTTCTCAGTGGTGATGCGGTAGATGCACTCGTGATTGTTGTCGTAGTTGGAAGGGAAGTTTGGCGAGACAAGAACACCCTCTGGCCCCAGAGAGGTGGCTCCACACTCAGCTATAACAACAGAAGTCGGGGGAAGGGCAGACACACCATGGACCAAATGAGTGCAATTTCAGCGTATTATCTCTGAGCAGTCACATCTCTGATTTGGCTTTCTGTGTGTTATGTGAAAGACCATGACAAGTGGTAACTGGGGAGAGGCAAAACGCAGCTTAATGATAACATCAACACAGCCTACATGACAGCAGTGATGATAATCAACCGACCGCGGTCAGATAATGAACGTTGAATATATTTTAAAAAGGCATTTTAATCAAGCAAAAACAAAATGAAAAGTGTAGATGATGTTGCAGCTCCGAAACAAAGAGAGCTGTGGCGGTGTTGTTTTTTTTTTTTAGAAGTAAACTTTATTAATTATTTTAACACTCTCTAATACGAAGACGTCTCTGTCCGATGACGTGTCTTCTCTTCTGCCGTTCGCTCGAGAGGCGTTCAAAGACCCCCTCAGAAAAACGTAAATTAACGATAGCTTCAATGACACTAAGAAAATCCAAAATAACACACTAAAACAGAAAATCCAAAATAACACACTAAAACAGAAAATCCATCGAGGAAACCACAAAATAAATTCTATGGGGGGTGTTTGTGAACACACAACAAAGGAATAAATATCAGACAATTCTGAAACAGTCCAGTCTCCCACAACGACACAAACTCATCTACACTCGCACAATCCAACACAAACGTGTTCTCCAATACGATAGCCGTACAAATATGACGTTATTACACGGCATTGTTTCATAAAAGAAGAAAGGAAGTTGCTTTGAGAAGACTGTCATCTAAACTGAAACGATGGCACTTGTAAAATTGTGAGGGCGGAGCAACACAAGGTGCTATATATACATATTGAAGAGAAAAATATGCCATGTTCATAACTTCTAAGTCACTGACACTTGAAGAAAGTATTACAAATCCAGCAGTGCGAGTGTTAATGGGTAAATACATGCATTAAATAAAGCACGGGGGCGGGGGGGGGGGGGGAATGACAGACGGAAGGATTGAGGTGGAAACACAAAGTAAACAAGAGACTTTTTAAAAATATGCATGGATAAATTAGAATAGGGAAATCGGGAGTCACTTGCGTTTCATAATGCTCTAATGATCTCCCCATGGAGAGTGTGTTGCAAGGCAGGAGTGCAAAAGTGAGGGACATTTACAAAGTGGTTAAACTCAGTCAAGTACCCTGAGTCCCCTCCAAAAATATTGGAACTTTGTTTGCTGTAAAATGAAAACATTTGGGTTTGACAACAAATTGTTTCATCTGACAACATCAAATTTTAATCTGAGATGGCTTCATGTGCCACTATTACTGACGGTGATTTGAAATTGTCCCTACTTTGTTTCCCTAGCACATCAGGTTTTGAGAAATGTTCATTTTTGTTTTTAAGTTTACTCTATGAAAAGTTTGCCCAACAATAATTTTTATTATTTTTGGTAATTAGTTAAAAACTTTTATTCATAATAAAAGATGTCAAGGCAATCAGAGTGAAAAGAACAAACAGAAAGAAAGAAAGAACATAAGATGCGCGCGCACACACACACACACCCACACCCACACCCACACACAAAGAGCGGAATGTCAAAAACCACATTCCACAAAAAAGTAGAGAAAGACATTAACGAGTTTTACTTTTGTACTTTATACTCTGCACTTTTGATGATGAAGTAGTCTGTAAACAGTAGCTGTGAGACATTCACTCCTGTTCCTCAGAGGTTGTTGCCGATTTCACGACAGAGCTTGAAGGTCATTCTGTGCCGTTTTCCTTGGCCTACAAATTCAACATCTGTCGCTTGTGGGGTCTTGTTTGGAACAATCCAAAGGGTTCTACAGTCGAGTTTCTGAGTGATGTTTGTGGAATGGCTCGGATTGATTTTACATCTTCTTTCAGCATCATAAATGCTTGTTTTTCACCCAAAGACAGCTTGCTGCTTTCCTTGTTTGTTAGACCTCTAGTTGTAAATGTAGTTTTCCCAGGTGAACCCCCTATATTAAATTGAGCATGACCATACAGAACTATTTAATGCTTCATAATTGATATCATAGACCAGACCCGGGGAACAACATATACAAGTACTGTACGGGATTTGTCAATTACATTCCAACAAATAAAAATGGTGTCAACTTCAAGATATGTCTATAGCAAAATTAAAGGAATTGACCTCACTGTTTGGAGGTGAGTGGATTAAACTAAGACAACATTTGTAGATTTCAGACAGCATCCACAGAAAAACGGGAGGCTCTATTTTCGAAGACAGGCACATGTGCGGCCGGCGTCACAACTGGTCGAGTAACAAGATTTTGGCAAATTTGATGGAAGCAGACAGATTCTGAGCTCCGCGGAACGTGTGTGGTGGATGCCAACATATTTCATTTGAGTTTCAATAAAAGTTTGTTGGCGGAGAGACACCACTGAAACAGAATGTTCTTTTGGAAAGCTGCGCAATGATGTAATCTGTTTTGAGTCGCCATCATTTGGTGTGGATACTCTTTTGTCTCACCTATACATCTGGGCAGTGTGTTGCTCCACACTCGCCTGCCTCCACCAAGACAGGTGATCTTGCTGTCTCCCTCGAGTCGGTAACCGTGGAAACAAGAAAAGGCAAGTGAGTCGCCAACTTGAAATCGGAATCCTGTACGTCTGCTGAAAGCCGGAACACCCGGATCCTCACAAGGCTCCAAGTCATATTCTGCAGATTTGCAAGACATCAACGCAAATGATTATAGACACACTTACATGGGAAATATACTGGACATGACCTTGATTCTAGTCTATCTCAGCCTCCGCGCTCCATCATGCTCTACACTCTTTCAAATAAGACAATATATCACACATATCCATTCATCCAATCATGAATCTGATGGTGTTGTCTTACCTGAGAATGTGATGTTAAATCCCTCGTAACTCATGGAGAAATCAGATATGAATCGGAGCTGAGCGCTGAAATTCCCAAAAAGCCCCGCTTTGACACTGGGGGGTAGCACAGAGCCAGTCAGTCGGGCCACCGGAACCAGAAAATTTTCGTTCTCTGTGATGGACAGGTAGTCATGGTTCTCCTCCAAATGGAACGTATGGAAGACGAGGTGGACTCCTGTGACAAAAATAAAAAAATAAAAAAGGTGAAAGAAGGGATTGACCGACAGGTGAAAGGATGATTGGATGACAAATGGACCGACCAAGACACATCATCAATTTTAATATATGGATACAGACCAGAAGCACATATACAAAGTGTGGAGAAACTTAGTCAAGAATACATCCACCTAATCAAAATGCATACTGTACAAAAGAGTAGTGAAGAACTATGCTGTAATGTACAATTTAATTTAATTTGAGAACAGTTGGAGTTAATAGGGTGAGGGTATATTTATTTTCCCAACATTTAGTATGAGAAAGCTTGTCAAGGACGCCGAAACGTTTTGTACTAATTATAGTGCTATGCATTTCATATGCAATCCTCGGGGGAATACAATGACAACAGTATGCAGTATATTTTTGAACATCAAATATCGTATCATGAACACCGGCACCAATTCAAAAAAAGAAATCTTCCAGTATCAGATGAATTTTATAATTGTATAGAAATTGTCTGATAATGTGAGCTGTTTCCATTTCTAGCATAATGTAAGCATCCAAGAACTGGCCGCCAGTGAACATCATTTAGACATCCTAAGCCAGTCTACACCACTCAGTCGTCAAATAGCAATAGCGAACAAAACTAGTAAAATGTTTTGGGCAGTAAGGGTTTGTTTTAGTCAGGAAGAGATAGGAAAAATGTCCATAGTGTATTTGGTGTCCTACCTTTACCATGAGACACCTCTATGGTCCAGGTGCAGTTCAGAGAGTTGGGGTAGAAGTCAGGAAATCCCGGCGAAAGAATCGTTCCCATTTTCCCAAACACATAGCCTCCACACAGAGCTATGGAGGAACAGAAATTGGGTTTACAGGCTGAAGCAACACAATAAGTACAGTATATTTTAATCCGTGTCCGGTCAGAACTACAGTTAAATGATAGATTTCCCAAAAGAAAATTTTGAACTTCTTAGACCTCTGTTACATGTGCAAAATTGACTCTTTCTGGACCTTTATGAACTGAGCTCTGTGCCTTTGTCATGAGCACGCAAAGAGGTTATAATGTAGACAGCACACAGGACAGGAAATGTAAATGAGAGCGACTTTTAAATTCAGCACAAATTCAATATTAGGAAACACAGTCTTCTTTAACTGAATGTATTCTCAATGAGTATTTAACTTCCTTTTTATGGTTGGAGCAGCTGGAAGAAAAGACTCTTGCGATAACGTGAGCTCCTTTTCACTCATCTTACATTGAAATTCAATTTTGATGAAGTGTTTCAACATACAAATACATTGTGGGCCAGAAACTGAATAAAACTCGATGTTTTCACTCAGTCTGCTGATGTTATATGTCAGTTGGAAAATATCAATATCTTCAATGGATCGCGTTTGATGTCCGCGGTGAAAGGTTAGTAAAATTATTATTCACTACTTTGAGTAAAGACACATTGAAGCCATTATCTCATGAACGTGTACTAAGCTGCTCCGCTTCCCTTCCTGATCCCTTTATTTATCCACTGCTTTGCTCCTATCTTCCCGCCTGTCGTATTTCAATATAGTTGAGGTGAGCAGAAATGATAAGTCAAATCTCTTTTCCTGACATGCCGTTAAGACCTGCCATCACGTATGTCACTCTCCTGTCGGGGTTTCGCTCATCATCTGTCTAAATGACCCTGGTTGAAAGAAACATTTGTGTGCAGACTTTATCAACTGAGTGTGCCTGAAAGGGCATACTTAAGAGTTTATGAATGATATCAGTGAAGGAGGAGGGCAATGGGCTGCTAATATATATGTGGGAGGAAAAATGTGCTGTATAGCAAGGGGAATAACAATATGCCTGTTTTTTCCCCCCAGAAATACACAAGGGAAACAAATAGCATGTCATTACATCCTTATCCCTACTCTTATTTTCTTATTTAACGACAATGTTCGGATCATACACTTTGATGGCTTTTCTTTTGCGGGTAAATGTGTCTATGGACGTGCAGTCAGGGGAGGCAAGAGAGGCAGAGCCTCACTCGCACCATGTGTTGCACATTCTCTGCATGTGAAGAGTAAAGAAAAAAAAAGGGGAAAACATTTAAATGATTATAGTAAAGAAGTGAAGCAAAGCAGGGCAGGCTTGGAGACTCATCTTAACATTGCCCGGCTAAGGCGGCTTTGTGTAGTCACACCAGAAAACTTGCTGTTTGTCTTTCTATCGCACATGTACTGCACATGCTGACAATCAACAGTCTGTGGAATATTTTCCATGAATGTGCGTGACACATTTAATCACTCTTATGACCAGAAAACTGACTTAGTGCACAGTGGAGTCTGATATGTATCGTGCCACAGCCAGCATGTGGTAGTGTTGTGCTCCAATGGCGCATTGGATAGAAGAAGAAGAAGACCATCAATGGCTGGTTGGAAACGTGCATACTTACTTGCCATCTTGAAGTCCCCGGCGATCTCTGAATTTATATCCCAATAGTAAAATTACCAAACTTTAAAATATAGTTTTTCTTTCCGATAGCTTTGATGTAGATGAGTTATTTTTGTCACTTGCTGGATTTATTTGGTGAGCAACTTCAGAGTAGTTAAACTGCATTTATTAGAGAATGACTTCTGGTTTTGCTCGCTCCATTTTACAAGTAGCTTGCCAAACACTAGCTCTTATATTGGCTGTCATTAAATTATGCACATGTACCTAATAAAGTGTCTGGTACCTATAAATGGGATTATTTTATAATTTGCATGCCCTGCTTGGAGTATAGCTCAGGGAGACAGATTTCATTTCCTTCTTTCTAATCAATTTCTCAGTGGGCTTTGCAATTTATTCTCCACTGGTTCACTGGTGAGTTGTGACATTCTGTTGTACCGTAGCACCTTAGCCAAATGGAGGACTCAGAAAAGAAAAAACACCTATAGAATGCAATAATAATATAGTGTGGTGTCTCTATTATAGTTAATGGAGCATAGTGTTGGTTTAGGCAGTGCACAGAGCTGACAAACTTGCAATCTCAGCTGATCCTGTGCCAGCCCACTTCAGCTGATCATTTAATTATTTCATTCTAAGCACTCAATTGGCTCAGCTGATTCCCTACCACCACCAACACATACTATCTTTGTTCCTGGCAATATATAATATTTGTGAAGTGGAACGTGGTCCTAACTGAACATTTTTGTTGTTGTTGTTATTGCAGTGAACTCATCTTGTGTGTTTGTGTCAGTGTTAGGGTGAGCTCTATGGCCTCGGCCTGAATCTAAAAGGCCCACATCTAAATACAAAATATCTTCATATATTGTTTGTCATTCAGTTCATGGTCATCCACAAGAGTTGAGGAGAAGGAAGATTGAAGTCTACAGAAAAGTAACCCCCGCCCCCTGCAGACCAGTGCCTACTGTTTTGTTCTTATCACCCAGTAGAACACAATCGCAGAGTTGAAGGAAACCTCAACAACAAAGCAGAAGAAAAAAAAATCCCAACCACAGAGAACAGAAGACAGAAGGAGCAGACACACATCAAGGCAGATCTAACTACCTATGGGTATTCTAACTGGGTCTTAAACCCACTAGGACGAGAAGGACAACTACAACCTACCCTGGGGGGTATAAACTGGAGGCGGAATGCAGTGGTCCCTTATGTGGCTGGTTTGGCGAATAAACGCTGAAGGATTTTCTCTGCACATAATAGACTAATGTACTTCGAACCCAGCAACACCCAAGACAAAAAAAATCGTTCACCCCAAGGACAAAATCCTTGGAGGCAAACTCAGCAATGTTGTTTATGCAGTTGAGTTTCAAGAGTGCCACGGCCTTGATATTGAGGAGGCCAACTCATGGGGCCCTTCGCATTCACGTCACCTAATGCATGAGTGTTGCTATTGTTAAATATTAATTTGCCTCATTTAAAAAAAAAATCTTTAAGCATGCTTCAAGGTGTATTTGTCTCTCACAATAAAGAGGAAAGAAATACGGCTAAACTAAAGGGCCTGCGAGTGGCCAGCCAGTGTAGCTCTTGCCGTGAATAATTTCTTTCAATTTGCAACTTAGGCAAATGTTCATTTCATGAGTATGGAAGGGCTGTGGTTAATTGAAATGGAAGAGCAAAGATGGCCAAAACGTTTTTAATCGCCTGCTTCAGAAATAATTTGGTTCATCATGGCCCATACGAACTAACATATGGTACTAACACTACAAGGAGTTTTTTTTTTCTTCACCACGTCACACCCATTAATTTGTTTCACATTGACTGACAGACAGGCCTGTCCAAATCAGTTATTGGGAAAACAAGTAGATCACATAACGCTGAGGTAGCGTGTGATGATGCAGCTATGTCGCTTATTGTGTGACTTATGACACTCGAAACACACACACAGCTGGCAGCTGCAGAAATGACCTCTGCTTACCCGAGTCAAGCGGGACATGACGTCCTTCAGAAAGTTTTCACACTTTGCCAGAATTTATGAAACACTGGCAATTATGACGAGCATTTGATGACGACTGAATGGGGACCATGTCCTTGTTTTCTTTATTTGCTATGTTTTGTTTAATGATCGTTCAATCCTGAAATGTGGTTTCATTTTAATCCAATTTTAAAAAAAAGTGTTTTGCATGATTGTTGGTTATCTTTGAAAAAAATTGCACCCATTTTACCAATTGTTATCCTAAGAGCATACTTGTCCAAATCATTTTTAATGTGCTGTTACCAAATCAATAAAACTTACCTATTGTCTGGTTGAAAATTGAGTTGCTTTCCGAAAATGATCAAACCAAACTTGGGCAATTATGATAACGACATTCTGCCTACGCTTAAGAGCACAACTGTATGTGGGAATAAACCCCGCCAAAACTCACATCGGCTGTTAATTTAAGAGAGATTATCCCACTGCAGGTTTCGAGGAGGGCGAAAACCACTGAAGCATCCTTACCATCACAGCTGGGAAGAGCGTGACTCCACTGATGATTCTGCTCGCAAACGATGGGCTCCTGATCGCTCAGACTATATCCCGGGTCGCATGCAAACGAGACACGGGAGCCAATGGAAAAGCTGCTGCCATGGCGACGTCCATTCACCGGAATACCCGGGTCAAGACAAGAGTCTGACTCCATTTTCACACCTGGAATTCATATAAGACATGTATATTTATCTCCGAGTCAAGAAGGTGTGTGCAAGCGTGAGGCTACATGACCAACAAGTCATTACCCACTCGTGACCGTGAGACTTGAACATAACCTTTCTATTTTTCAAATGATGTGTGCTAAATTGTCATACCCCATTCAACCCTTACTCTCGTATCTGATGCTGAAGCCCGCCGCCGAGCGACTGTTGTCAGTGGTGAACAACAGGAACAGGAAGTTGGACGTGGAGATCAGGAAATGTGGCGCCTGGGTTCCGTGGTACTCGCCGATCAAGGGGGAGGAGGATGAGGGACCGTCCCTGATTTCCAACGTGTCATAGTTGACCTCCGTCTGGAACCTGGAGGGACGTTTATTTTGCGACTTCAATAAACAACAGGTGACTACTTCTTTGGTTTACTTGCTTCTTGTTGACCTTAAGTGACCACTGCTTATATTCCTGACATTCTAACTTCTTAGCAACTTTCTTGGCTTTGGGTGGTCATGACTTCAGAAAGCTATCATTATGAAAGAGTCCACATTTTAGGAATGGACTGTTTTTTTGAATGCAATTAGCACTTTGCCGGGATAGAAAACAATATAGGAGACGTACGGAAAACACACACTGCAATCTAAGATGACTTGAATATTTCCATACGAAATCAAACACAAAGTCGTGTCTGCACAACACATTTGCATAAATGCAGCCCTCCGAAAATGGAATGCCTCACAGGCTGTGAGGGTGATGTGGCCTTTATGTTTAACTTACAAAATAGATAGATTTCATCCATAGCAATTTCATGCTAAACTGCTCCTGCGTATGGCTCAATGCCAGAAGGAAAAGTGAAACTCCGACATCAATCATTTACTGCACCGCATACTACTTTGACATTTATCTGACCATCTCATGGCACCTGACGCAATGAGAGTGACTGCAACCCCAGTTAAAATTGCATCTGAATGCTGAAAAATAAAGGCTTAGTAATGCTGCCGTCAAAACAAAACAAAGGAAAAAAAAAACAAGACGAAGTAGTTACGATCATCATAACATGCTAATACTACATAACTTTGCAAATATAGCCAATAAGGGGAAGAAATATGCAAAATGTAATGAGACAATCCTAATATAGCTGAAGGTTTCTTGCACTGGCGAGCATACCCTCACTAGCTGACTCCTGGTCTTACCCAAAAGCATATTTTCAACTCCACTTAGACAGAGGCAAAAACCAGATCATTAAAAATATTGTAATTCAAGACCAGTCTATAAAAGGTTACGTTTTCAATCTCAAAAGTCACTGCTCTCATATACTGCACGTGCACATGAGAGTAATGCTGACCAGAGGAGTTGCGTTATTGTGGAGGACTGCAACACATGGAGCTTAATTCCTCCTAAGTGATGCCATGCTGTTCTTCTATCAACAACAGACTAAGACCAGTAGTGTACTCAGCATTAATCAACAAAATAATGAATCACACAAAGATTTATTGACGTTTAAAGAAGCAATTTTTATGCCCCACATCGTGTGGAATTGCTCCCTCGCATGAGCAACAACACAAAACAGTCACAAACGTACACTTCTCTTGCGTAAAGACGCACAGAGGAAGGTTAGCGATACACAAGATCACGAGCTGCTCATTTCTGTTCAACCGATTGAGTGGCACGCCGGAGAAAAGAAAAGTGTCTGCGACTTGAAAATAAGATCAAATCTTACCTGTCAAAGTGTATCTTCACAGCATGATCCGCTTGAGATTCAATCACCCACTGGCAGTTGAGAGAATCCTTGTAGAAGGAAGGCCAACCAGGAGAGAGAAGAACTCCGCTAGGAGCGGTGAGATGGCCTCCACATGGAGCTAGAGTGACAAGAAGTACCACAATTCATCTCCCTATCTTGTTTTGGTGTCTTGCGGGATGTGCACAACCCTCATTTACACGTTCAGATTCATAAATCACAGTTATCGGAGCTGGAGCTGTACAGCACTGAGCAGAGTGCAAATAATTACAGCTTCATGGCTGGTGGGGAAATCAATATCTTTTTTTTTTTTTTTTTTCTTCAAATTAGGATACAAGATGAGATACCTGCTTGTTCAGACAGAATGTTTGCGGCCGGGTATACTGGAACAAATGGAAGATGGTATGCCAGTCCACGCTTTCCGTGGAGGATGTGGAACACACACATATTATTGGAATTCTGAGAACAACATCCAGTTTGGAGCTGGCAGTTTTCCTGTTTAGAAGATACGAGCAGCATTTTTGGAAATTGGCAGCTGCCGTTCATGTTTGATAGGCAATGGCGTGTGGTCAACGCTCAGTCTTGGGCGACAAGTGATCTCAAATTGCAGGATGAATGCGAGTTCTGAGACACTTTGCAAATTGGACACCAACGTGGAGTCATTTGACGGCTGGCTTTGAATTATTGATCGCCAGTTCGGCCAATTGATGCCGACTGAGGGTTCCAGTGAGAGAGGCAAGGCTGGCTGAAAGTATTGTTGGCCTCTTACCCAAAACAGCTGTCATTTTTGGACCCTTATCTCCTTGATGTTGATGTTGCCGTATGCCGGAACCTCCCCTATCTCTCTTACAATCTCTTTCTTCTGTGCTTTCATGCCACTGTGTAGCACTCAGCGAGGTCATCTCCATGGCAACGAAACAATGTGTTTCGGCATGCTGGCTGGTGACCCAGCATGCTGACTCACATATTCACCCGACACAATAAACAAATCCTATCGTCAACGCCTTTTTCGTTTGTATGTCCTCTGGACCGGTTGCAACTGTTAAGTGAGTTTCATTGCTCGGTATTCGTGCGTGTGCAATGAAAATATATTGGATTCCATTTCATTCCACCCCAATTGGAAAAGCGCCCCCAATGACTCAAGCAGGTTATCTTATGTTTACTATTTTAGGCACATTGTCAAGTTAACCTGCTGTAGTTGGCCCTAATAAGGGTACCCTTGATAGAAAAGATGCTAAATTTGGTTGTTGAAATGTCATCAAGCCCGGACTACTTGCCTTCGCAAGATATTAACAGTCATAGTGACTCTGTCGCCTCTCTTTGGCCAATCGTGAGCTTCCATCTGGCCCAACTGCTTCATTTTCTTGGTCGGGTATAAGTAAGAGTACATGAAGTGAGAAATGTTCCACAATAAGTTGATAGTGAGCCTCCTCTAAATTTTGTTAAATGGTTGTAACTGATATGAAACTGTTCATTAAGAATAATTGATATTGTTCAGTTTTTTAAATAAATGGTTATTAATCTAATATTGTTAAATCTTCTCAAGGAGGACACTTATATAAACGTGGTCCGAGCATCCTGCAATATATTACACAATTCTGACATCCAATTATAAGTAAAATAATAGGCCTTTTCTCCCTGCCCAATTCACAGACCGCATAATATTCTTCCTCTTTAATGAGTTCGAGACACTCTTTGCTTTTACTGCGGACAACACAAACTTAAAACAGAAATATAAATGAATTGGAAAGTTGTATTTGCTATCGTCACTGTACTCATACATTGTTACTTACACTGTACATTTGTTCATCGATGTATACTGTGAGTGTATCATGAATGCATATCCCTCTCTTTCTTCCCCCCCAGAACTAATGCAAATTCAAATCCAAAAGTATCGCCAAGTGTAAAAAAGTTCATGGGCTAAAAAAATGAGGAAGTTGTGGGGATAAGCAAGAGGACAAGTAATAGAATTTTAACTTGGCTCAAGCGAGTTTAGACCAAGAAGGAAACACATTAGCGAATATTTTGGAAACTTTTCCCAGTTCAATATTTCAAACAGCAATTCAGTACTCATGCAGAGCAAAAACAGAAGGCGCGTGTTTACCTTCACAGCGAGGCACAGCTGCAGACCAAACAACATTTCCATCTTGAATGATGCAGGTGACCTGATCTGACCCCTGTAAATTTCATTGATGTGTCATTTACTAAATCAGTTCACTTGCATAAATTAATGCAAAAGTCATCCTAATCTTTAACCGGATTGATTTGTTTAATCGAGTGTAACATTTTAATACCTGTGTCCTAATGAATCCTTGGTCACAGCGGAAAGCCACAGAGCTGCCGAGTTGGAACTGGTCTCCATATCTTTGCCCGTTGACAGGAACCCCTGGATCATGGCACTCATTCTGGCCAAATGCTTCACAGAAACACCATTTATAAATCTTTTTATATCCAAGGTACAATATTTTGATAGAAATATCACAGATTGCAATAGCATTTCCATAATCAAAGTCAAATAAGTGCCCCGTGACCGCTGTTTTTATTTGGCTGATGCAAAAAAAAAAAAAAAATTGAAATAAAGTCTGTAGATCATATCTGCTATCTCAAGATACTGCTACCAGTTTTAGTAATTTAGAAAATTCAATTTTCAATTCTGTGCATGTAATGCTGTCACAGAGACAGTATTTGTTGATGTTCTGTCTTCACATGCAGTTTTTTTCCCCCTTTCTTTCTGATCAGTTGCTGTTCACCTGCTCCTGATCTTTGCCTGCTGTATTGGAATTTTTGGGGAGTTTTCAACCTTGAAGGAGATTGCTTCTCTTCCCCTGCTGCCTGTCAACTTCAGTGAAGTCTTTGTTCAGCTTAACTCCCACCTCCATATTGTCTTTCTGCGTTTGGGTTGTTTGTCTGATACTGTGACAGATGCTACAAAAATAATTCTATTCGATAAGGAAAAAGGACGCTGAATGTAAAAAATGTACAACATGCAGAAGGGCAAATATAAAACATCAAAAAGCTGAGATTATACGGTTGGAAATAAAACGTGTCTCAGAGCATCTTGAAGGAGAGGCATGAAGAACATGTACTTGTATAGCTGATGTTGAAGCCTTTCCCAGTATTGGAGTGATCGGACTGAAATTCCAGTCTCATGATGTGTCCATGTGAGGCAATTTGGGATGGTACATCCTTTCCAGAAAATGTGCCAAAAGTGGTGGGCTCAGATAGACCTGAAAGGAAACAAACATTTGGGATGTTATATAACAGTTTGTTTCACATTATGCATTTGATGTCTATGCATACACGATAAATTTGGTTGAGTAAAATTTTCTTGAAAAAGACTATATTTGATATTTTCTTCAAAAAAATTGTCAAGGTTTGTTTTTTTGTTTTTCAGAAAACCTAGTAAGTAAATTTTACAGGAGCGTTTTTGCATAAAGTTTACTTGTATAGTTTATCATTATGTCAACAAAAAAGGTCACTCAAGGGTTGAGGAATGCAAGTAGTTGTCTCATTCCTCAACCCTTGAGTGAATGTTTTGAATTTTTTTCAGAAAAACTATGCTAGCAAAATTTCTTCAAAAACAATGCTTGTAGAATTTATTGATTAATTTCTGAGTACCAAATTAATGTGTATGATTTTTATAGTTTATTGCTTCACACTTTTTGCTGTGTAAAATTTCCCTCTGATTAGTTTTACTCTCAAATTTTACTTTGTTCAGACTGAGAACAAATATAGTATTTTTCGAGTGAAATATATTCTCAGAAATTTACGATGTACATACATTTAAATCCAGTACATGATATATGTTATAACAGTAGAGCACGCTCCATCCAAACACATGGATCCTGAAATTTTCAGAAAAAGGAATCATCACAAAGAGATGCGAAAAAGGGTAGACTGTAATATTAATGTTGAGCTATTCCTGAATGTCCCCCTTAAGGTCCCCACAATGATGAATAACAACGAAGGTGAACTACGGAAAAAAAAAAAAAAGCTGATGTAATTTCGGAAAACAAGTGACGATGAAGTAAACAATGAAAACTGGCAATTAACTAGCAAATGATCAATAACGACTTCATCAACAGCATTATAGTTTTTTATGACAAATGACTAAAAGTCGGAAATAAAAATAAAAGCGATGTTAGGTCGATTAACATCATCTTAACATCAAGGGACCTGAGGTATCAACACCAGGCAGATGGCAGTGATTCACACAACAGTTGGAGGCCTGATGACGCTTTTCGACAAAAGCAAATCGACAAAAGGATCACAATGCCCTGCATCATTCCAGCTATTTTACCCAAATGTGTCTTCTGATATTAATTCCGGGCACAATTCGGTCTCCGTGACAGAAAGCCGAGTTCAAAGTATTGATTATCTCCTTGTAGACCTGTGATGAAAATGCTACAATAGCTACTGACCGTACACCTATTTCATGACATAGAAAATAGTACATATCTTCCAAGGGTACGTGTGAATGTGTGTGAAAAGTAGTTTCATTTCTGTTGGAGGTGAGGTGGAATCATAGCATACAATAATTTTCTCTCAAATGGAAGCTGTTCATGGGGGGGCAACACTTCGGAGCGCCCTATCAATGTGCCATGCATGTTTTGGAAATATGGGAGGAAACCGGAGTACCCGGAGAAAACCCACAAAGCCACGGGGAGAACATGCAAACTACACACCGAAAGGCATGAGCCGGAATTGAACCCTGCACCCCTGCACTGTGAGGCAGACGTGCTAACCAGTCGTCCACCAAGCCGCTCTTTACATATTGTCGACAGTGATTTAATTATTGTGCCCTGAGACTGACTGGCAACCGAATCAGGGCGTAGTCCGCCTTCCGGCCAAAGTCAGCTGGAATCGGCTCCAGCACCCCCTCACGACCCTGTTCAGGATAAGCGGTGTTGAAAATGGATGGACGGATGAATTAATTATTTCAATGGTGTATAGTTTCTGTGTCGCTTTGATGTTTGCACTTGCACCATTTTGTTTACCTGCTCACAATGCATTGTGGTCGATACTAACCTATTGAGTGACCGTGGTTTTTACTACTGTTAAAAGTGCATTGTGGGTAATTTTGAATGCACTACATTTTTTTTCTCTCTAGACATTCGGACACCCCTACAAAATTGTATGACCCCTATATAAGGCACTATATTGGAAATAGTGCGCACATTTGGACACAGTCTTCTGTGTATATTGGCCGAAATAAAAATCATTGTTGTGCCAGTCATTTCCATGCAACTTTCGTCGAATTAAATTTGGATGCAGATTCATCCTATGTTTCCATAGTGTGTGCGTATACCTTTTACCATGCAGTCAAAAATGTTGCATGACATTATTTTTTCCAGGTAACTTTTTTTCCTGATTGATACCAGGTGAAGTGAACTGGAAGACTTCAGCACTTTGGAACTTTAATTTCAGTTTACCCAGCGCAACAGTCCTAATTGCCCTGCAATTTTCAAAAACATTGTCAGAGAGATCAAAAAAATGAAAAACAATAAAGCTCTGCAGAGACAAGTTTATAGCCAGTCAATTAAACACAATTTTGGCTGTATTGACCTAACCAGTCACAAGGCACCTCAAGTTGATTGGGTTTCAGTCACTAACCTTGAATACAATGGGCAACAAGAGTCAAGTTATGCTGTGTTCTGAGCATAATAGCAAATGTTTTTTTGTTTTGTTTTTGGTGCAAAATACTAAAACAATTAAAATATAAGAATAAATTCATGCATTCTGCCAGCCAGCTATTTCTTGATTAAATATAGGCATCCTGAGCAGTCGTTAGGTAAAATATCGTCATCAGAAATGCACCTGCTGTGTGCCTCTTCACAGAATATCCTCCAGGTATCAACATGATTGAATAAAATTTACAAAAACAATCGCATATTTAAAATACTTTGATATTGTGACATGACACTTCAAAAGGTAAAAACCTATGACAGCCCAGCAAAGTTTTGTCAGTTGCCCACCTCTGAATATCTACATTTTGTGCTTGTTGAATTTTTATGAAATTACCTTTTTTTTTTAATACCCGCTCTCGTCACCAATATGGTTACTTGGCTGATAAATGCAATCCTCACCTTCATCTTTGACCGCCAACCAATCAAACTGAGGCTCCAGGTCAAAGTCAGAGAAGAGCAAATGAATGCGGCTCCCTGGTTCAGAAATGATCAGCCACACGCAGTTGAGATTGTTCCCATATTCCTCAGGATAGTTTGGGGACAGCACTGTTCCCGATGGGGCCGTGAAGTTGAAGAAACAAGAAACTACGAGGATAAAGGACAATTGCAAAGAAATGAGGTTATGAAAAAAAGTAATTGAGTGAGAATACAGACAAGAGGAAAGAAAGGAAATGCAAAGGGGAAATTAAAAAAAAAAAAAGAAAACTTAATTAATTCATTTTTGAGAGGTAAAATAAAGCAGAAAAGCAATTTAAAAGAAAACACATGAGTACTTACAGATGCAACTGGGTTTATTACCAGACCACTGGTTATTATGCTGGCACGTAATGCTCCTCTCGCCAACTAATTCAAATGCAGACTGGCAGGAGAAGGTCAGCATATCCCCGTGTTGAAATCCATTGCCACTACGACGACCAAACGCCGGCACGCCAGGATCACCGCAGCCTCCCCGTTCGATCTCTGCGTCACACAGAGATAAAGATAGGCCTGCCAATCCGCGGACCACGGCGTGTTGGCCGGCCTGGCTGGGTCAGCTGGTGCTCCTTGTGGCGGCGATGTTGCCGGCGTCAACTATTTCGAGTCGCTAAATTCAGTTTAAATTCATCTCTCCTTTTATTATTTATAATTTTATCTGTGGTTTTATTGTTCTTGTTTTGATTGTAAAGTGTCCTTGAGTGTTTTGAAAGGCGCTTATAAATGTAATGTATTATTATTATTATTATTAATTACAGTCAACATACAACACAGTGGCAGTCCAGAGCAGTTTACAGAAGAAATTAAAAAAAAAAAAAAAAAACTATGACAAAGTATTAAGTGAAACCAAGCTTACAAAAGGGTTTAGCTATCAATTTTCTACTCTGCATGTCCTCATTTGGGTCAAGGGGGATCTGCAGCCGAGCCAGGTTGATTTAGGCTGAGAAGCGAGGTACAGCCTGATCTGGCTGCCAGCCAATCACAGGACACATATCAAAAAACAAGCTTTCACACTCACATTCACATCTCTGGACAATTTAGCAACTTCTAAAGTTGAAAAATAAATAAAAAGGACAAACAACTTGATTGAGGACTTGGTTGAAAAACATTCTAATCAGGATCTGGACTTACTGGGTTTTGGAAAAAAGCTTGTGTATTAATTTTAGAGTATTCGGGTATTTTGCAACATGGTGGGGCGAAATAACACCTAATCAGTATGGTGTGCAGCAGTGCAGTTTTACACTTGCAAATTGCCAAGAAATTCAAGGAATTGTTCAAACTCATCCCTCTCTAGGAGTGTTTACCCAAAATATAAATATAAAAACTACAGTTATGTACAGCATATATGATGAAGTGTGTTGGTTGGTTGCTTAGTTTAAAAAAAAAAACAAAAACAAAAAAAAAAACAACAACAACCACCTTCAAGTTTGTACAAAAAAAAAGAAACAAGCAAATAAAAAAAGAACTACCGTATTTTTCCCCGATTCCTACAAGTCATGGTGACATGGGGACATAGTCAAGGAACGCCTTTAAAAAAAATCATAGTGCACATCAAAATAAAGGTGCAAAAAAAAGGAATTCCATTTCAATATGTAACAGTAAGCTTGCATTGGGGCCAACTGGAGTAATAAACTAGATGGAGCCGCAATGAATAAAACCTTGTGAGGTAGTTATCACCACTTTAATTCACACTTATATGACTCGAGTAGAACACTTCGCATATAGTGTTTTTTTTTTTTCCTAACCAAATAACTCAACCAGGCACGTATCGAAACGTATGGTATGACATAACTCTACAATTCCATAACTGACGGCAGTGACAGTAATGAATGATCATTTCTTCTACTTGGGGAAGCCAGGCTAATCATTAGAAATACAGTGAGAGGTTCATATTTTATATCCTACAAAGGACTGTGTGAACGGATTGTTTGACCTTCATAAAGGTCGATAGAGGTGCTTCGGGATTTGGATTGCAACATGTCCTACACCCCCCC